ACCAGCCACGTCGACCTCGGGATACCACTTCCGAGGTCGGCCTCGCCAATATCACTTGAGCGACTATCGCGTGCCTCCGTAGAACCTCCTCGCCCAGGTAACCTGGTCGACCGGGCAACCACGTTGACCAGCTGCTTCTTTACGTGCCCGTCGACCACCCAAGTCGACGACCACCTCTGGTCGACCTCGCCCGGTCAACCAGCTCAAGTCGACAACCCTCCAGGTCGACCAACTCCTGGCCAACCAGCACAGCAGTTAGCCAAACACACCAGCAAGGCTGCCCCAAGTCGGCGTCACCAAGTCGACGCCTTCCACCGGTCGACATCCCGAGTCGACCACACGAAGGTCGGCGCCCAGAAGTCGGCGCCAGTCGCAGGGGCCCCCGTGCAGCGACCTCCTCGTCGACTAGCTCACCCACTACTGCAGGTCGGCTGCACTCCCGCGTACACCCAACCACAAGGTCGGCTCCGCCCAAGCGAGAATGGGGCCTTCCACAACTCCCATGGATAGATCCTGGTCATCGTCGATCGGCCGACAAAGATGGCACATTTTCCAGCCTGCAAAAAATCAATCACAGCCGAAGAAAAAGCCCACTCTTCTTCGCCACAGTCGTTCGACTACACGGGATACCAGCGGCGATCATCAGCGACCGCGATACAAAATTCACCAGCAACTTCTGGCGGAACTTGTGGCAGGTGTTTTGGCATGCGACTAAAGTTCAGTTCATCATACCACCCCGAAACTGACGGACACACAGAACGGACAAACCAGGCCATGGAATAGTTATTCTGAGCCAGGTGCGACGACCCAACCATGTGGGAACAGTAATTGCCACTCATCAAATTCGCATACAAGAACTCTCCATCAGCCACGACTCAACAGTCAATTCTACTTGAACCATGGACAAGACCCCACAGTAACCATGGCCCCAAATCCCAACAACCCGGTTCCACGCGTGCAACAGTTCGTAGAAATTCTGCAAGCAGCACGGACCCGAGCAGCAGATACAATTTAAAGTCAAATATTATTGCTAAACGCAACGCCGATCGCCACCGCCGCCCCATCACAAATCAGCCTGACGACCTTGTCCTACTCGATACCCAGAACCTCCGCCTGCCCATCACCCCAAAACTCTGCCCCCGATATTGTGGGCCATTTCGCTTTAGCCACATGATCACCCCCGTCACCGCCCATCTCCTCCTCTCTGCTGACTGGTATGTCAGCCGGTCATTCCACGTCAGCCTACTCTGCCCATATGTCCCATCCACTAGCCAACTGCCTCGCAGCCGCCCAACCAGCATGACACGACCGCACACAAAGCCAATCATCATGCCCAAAAAGATACCGAGCCACCAAATTCGTGACCCACAAGGAACCCGCACGATCGAATCTCTAATCCGCTAGAAAGACCGCATGCCCACCGAAGACAACTTGGTTCCCCTGGATAGAATCGAGAACCACCCTGTCCTCACCGAGTACCTGCACAACCAAAATATTCGAGATGTACACGCGCTCTCGTAAGGAGGGCCTTCTTAGGGGGGGTGGTAGTGTAAGGAAATTTCTTTTTGCTTACTTCGCGTCCCTGCTCAGCGCATACACCACTATTTCCACCAACAACTCTCAACATTGCACCGTTACCACTCGCGACACTCGCCTCGACTACTGTTCCCGCCACTGTTCACGATGCGACCCAACCTTACAGTTCGGTTGGTAACCCGCGCTCCGGACCTTTGCATCGACAATTCCCAGCCTCGGCGCTAGGCTTGTAGTGCACCCCATATTCACACATTACCGTTACCACTTAGCTTTGCTATATATTCTTTGCTCATGCCTTCGCTCAATGGACTGATTGCTTTAATAGTGCAATTCTCGATCGCTCGCTCAACTGCAATCGTAACACAAACCCTAACGGGGTTGTACCCTCTACATCATAACTCAGTGTAACATCTAGACAAAAATAACAAACTAAAACAATTATAGTTTGACACACCCCTATAGTTTAGGTGACAATAGTCCTCTAGAAAGCAACACACATCTCAGGGTGGATCACGAAGTCATCACAGAGTCTGATAGCAAGGGTCACAAGGCCTGTCAGCAAGAAAAAGCAACAGTCACAAAACCAGTCCAGAACAACAAAACAAATCTCAGTGTGGATCTCAAGATCACCACATAGTCCGACAACAAGCAAGAGGCCACAAGACCAGTCCACATGCAAGTATATAGCAAGTATAAGAGATACAAGTGTACACGACAAGCATCTCTACGTAAGTAAGTGAGGATGGGTAGGCACAAGGCCCATCTGGGTGCAAAAACACTGGTGGTCACAAGGCGGCAACGCCTTGGTGAAGATATATGCAGTTTTGGCCTCAAATACCACACAGAAAACGCGAGCCTGTTCACGCTGCTGTAATTCTCGCAAAACGAAGTAACGACCAGTTGAGCCTCCTTGCACAGCAGGACAACAGACCTGTTATCAGTGAACAAGACTGGGGAAGAGCGAGGCCGGTGAGAAGGAAAGATAACCAGCGAAGCTCCTAGGCGGCCATGGCCGCAACGTACGCCTCTGCCCTACAGTTGGAGCTAGCGACGGACAACGCCCGATCCGACCTCCACAATATAGCTCCTGTCCCAAGGCTGAAGCTGGAACCCTGAGTAGACATGTACGTCTTGCTCTGTCCGCGTAGGACGAGTCTGAGAAACTTGTGAGTGCAACTCGCTGCTTCCCTCCAAGGACAAATCCCATGCCTGATGTGCTCGCCTCTTACGTCAGCACCCTCTTAGCAGCCAAGCGGAGCGAAGGTCGGTGTCTCCCAGACGCAACAAAGCGCGCCAGGACGCTAAGAGGGAAAGCGAGGTCTGGACGACTACAAGTCATCAGGTACATAAGACAACCCACCAACTCAGGATATGGACCACTGGACTCAAATGACTCGGCCGAAGGTGGAGGCGTGAGCCCATGATCCAAAGCAAGAGCAGTAAGCTGTACCTTGGAGAACGGAAAGCAAAACCACATGAGGATCTACTCGATCATATGCAATTGCATCAGCGTAATGGTGCAAGCTATCCTAACCATGGCGATCTGCAGGCCGAGGTAGCACCGCAACTCTCCAAGGTTAGTGTGCCTCCTCTGCATTTCCTCCTTCACGGAGGCCAGTGCTGTGTGGTCGGGAGTGGCAAAGACCAGGTCATCAACGTAGACCAGAACAAAGAACGGGGTCGAGGTACGATGAACGAACAGTGACGGGTCGGCAGACGACGGAAAGAAACCAAGTGCAGCAAGGGTCGTGCGAAGCATATCGTGCCACTCGCGGTGAGCCTGGCGCACGCCGTAGATCGGTAGACGCGGCTACCAGTGGGTCCCATGAGGGAAAGAGCCAGTGAAGCCAGGCGGATGATACAGCCAGATTTGCTCGTGCAAGCACCCCTGAAGAAACGTTGTGAAGTCCAAGGAGTGCAACTCGTAGTCATGTTTGGCTGCAACGTGCAGCAACGCCAAGAGAGTGGTCGTTTTCGGGGTGGGAGCGAAGGTCTTAAAGAAGTCTACCCCTTATCACTAACAAAAGCCTCTCGTCACGTAGTGTGCCTTGAACACAGATGGTGATCCAGGCGGCCGCTTCACCTTATAGCCACATGTCACTGACGACGTTTGCCCCAGGTGGTGGGACTGTGTCGACGGAGGTGCGTGTGGACCTATGAGATGCCATTTCTGCCTCCTCAGCTGCTTTCCGATACAAGGCGTAAGGTCCGCGACCGCCTCAGCATGAGTGCAAGGGGTGGGGATGTCAAGGGCGTCTGGATCCCCCTCAGGGGCAAACAGCATGGTGCAGAGATGAGGAATAGCAACAGCAAGAAAAACCAAGCTCAGACTGCTTGTCCTCCAAAACCTCTAGGGGACAAACGGGAACACCCCCAATGGATGGAGAACAAGCAGGACCATTCACCAAGTGAGAGGCGCAATCAAGGAGGTGGGACGAGGCAAAGCCAGCGATAGTGGTAACAAGAGCCGAGACAGACAACGGGGGGCAGCCAGTGTAGAATTCCACTACTATAGCAGCTTGATATAGCTTGAAAGCACAATTCCAACGCACCAAAGATTGCAGAGAATGGTCCACTGTAGCCAGAGATACACACAAACATGGCAGTGATAACGACTTTGTTGATTTCTGGTTTGTGCTCTCAGGTTTTAGACTAGGACGCGATGCAAAATAAAAGCACACAAGAAAGTGTCGACCCAGGTCGCGCACTGAATTTCGTCGACACGGATTTCTGAGCCTTGAATTTTGCCTGGCGAACTCCATTAACTAAAATTCCGTAGACGAGAATTTCCGCGACCAAAATTCTGTCGACCACCAACTATAACTCCTCTGCAAACTTCGTTGACTTCAACACTTCGTTGCTAAGTTTCAAACCGAACGCGGCCCGAGATCGATTTTGCAAAAGTGTCCCCAATCCGTCCCAATCTGTCCCCAACCGTGGCCCGCGAACAGAATGTAGTACCTGCTTCCATCCATGGCTGGGCTCAGAAATGGACCGCACACGTCAGTATGGACCAGCCCAAGAACCTGACCCTCTCGCTCGTCATGCAGCAGAAAAGATTGGCGAGTGAGCTTTGCTTCATGGCAGGAGGTGCACGGCATAGCCTCACCTCCCTTCTCCAGGTCCATACTGAGCACGCCGTCGCTCGTGGCTGTCCGCTTCACTGCATCGAAGTAGATGTGCCCAAGGTGAGTGTGCCACAGGTTGGGCGTTGCCTTAGAGCCCACCGCGTACGTCTTGAGGCTGGCCGCTCCGTCCTTCATTTCCGGCTTGCTCGACGCCACATCAGCAATCTCCTTAGCCATGCTGTTGCTTGCCGTTGCATCCACCGTGCTGTTGCATGCAGCCGCAGCCACCGTGCTGTTGCATGCCGCTAAAGCCGCCGTTCCCTTGCATGCATCTACAGCTGCCGTGCCATTGCATGCTGGCCACGGTTTCAGGTCAAGGCAGTAAAGACGATGGCGCTAGCGTGCCGTTGCAGCCACTTGTCCTGCCGATGCGATGATGCAGGTGATACCTTCTTCGGTTTGCAAATTTGCTCCTTTGTCCGTGAGCTGCTCAGGGGAGACCAAGTTGGTCTCCATTCCTGGCACAAAGAGGAGATCATGCAGGGTCACGCGCAAGCCCTTAGTGCCCTCTAGAAAAACCTCACCAACAATGGCGACCTCTTGCATGGAACCATCAAACCCTTTAACATGTTTCGTTGCAGATGGGTCACGGATCACCATGAACCACTCCTTGCGGCCGATCATGTGTTGGGAGCATCCTGAGTCAAGGAACCACAAGTCCTTGTTGTCGGCCAGCAACTTTGCAGCCAAACATGCGACGGTGAGTGCCACACCCTTCCCGTCTCCTTCAACAACGTTCGCGGCTGCCGCGGGCGTTGCATCCTTCTTCTTGTTGGGACACTTGGCAGCCATGCGCCCCTCCTCATTGCAGTTGTAACAGCGCTCCTTGAAGAGGCCTCGCTTCTTCTCCCGCTTGCCATCCTTTTTCTTGTCCAGCTTCTCCCTTCGTCCTTTCCCTTCCTTCCCGTTGACCCCCTGTGTAGCCACAATCATGTTGACAGCGCCCGAGAAAGCAGACGCATTGCTGGTGATCCACTTGTAGCTTTGTTCAATGGAGAGGGTCTGCTCCTCCATCAACACCTCGCTGCACACACGTTCGACCGTCATCTCCCAGCTGGAAATGTCGAGCTTGCACACGCTCACACCACGCATGCAACGCACAAACATATGATGGGAGGCAGACAGACGTGAATGCAAATGATTGCATCACATAACAAATTCCCCCTCTGGCTGCCTACCATCATCCCACATGCCATAGCTCAAGCATGCACCCTCAATGCACACTCATTCCAGCAAGCTTCATCCCCTTACAATGCTCAGCTTCAGCCAGGCGCTTGGTGAGAATGCAGCCGCCTGCTGATGGGTCTTCACAATCTCCATCCGCACCTCCTTGTCAAAGAGCCTCCTCACCAAATGCCACTTTTGCCTGATGTGCTTTGTCAGGCCATGAAGACAAGCGTTCTTGGCCAGCTTCACTGCCGGCTCATTATCACAGAACATCACAGTTGGCACCCCCTGACCAACACCGATCTCCCCCAACAAACGCCTCAGCCACTCCACCTCCTTAGCCCCATGCTGCAGGGCCATGTACTCTGTCTCACACAATGACAGCCCCACCTTATTCCGCTTCTTGCTGGGCCAGCTTACTGTACCGCCTTCAAAAAGACATACATAACCTCCAATGCTGGTGCCATCCGTCTTCACAAAGTTGAAGCTAGCGTTAGTGTAGCAAGTCAAGAGCATCCCCCCCCGTTCTCAAGTCAGCTGCACCCCTTTGTAGCCTTTGTCGCACAGCATTGTACTCCAAGCCCACTGATGCTGTAGCGCTCACATAGCGGACCAGGCTCTTGGCCGCTTCCAGCTGCTCATGACTGGGGCGGGAGACCATACTAGCAAGCCTGGGTGTTGCAAAGGCAATGTCAGGCCGCGTGTGGTTAGCCGCATAAATGAGTGCCCCAACCACGGAAATGAAATAGCTTCCTGTCACTCTCACCCACCACCTCCTCATCAGCACAGGGCTCCACCTCAGATTCTCCCCCATCCTCAGTCACCCCAGAGATCTCCTCCTCTGAGACAGTGACCTGCACTTGCCTCGAAGGCCGCTGCACCTCATCAGCCTCAATGATCAGCGGTGTAAGAGGAAGCTCATGCTGCTACTGCTTCCACTCCTTGTAGTACAAGGACTCAAGGAACTTCACATCCCTTGATACAGTCAGTTGCTGGTTGGTCAAGTCCTATATCAACCAGCCCTTGTGATCCTTAGCAAGCCCCAAGTGCACACCCCATCTCCCATAAGCCTCCAACTTTCCCCTCTTCTCCTTAGGCAAATGAAACACCACCATGCAGCTGAAAGCTCTCAGCATGTTGAGTGCTGGCGCACTCCCATACCACTTGGTGTAGGGGACCCGCTGCTTGTCCCCCACAGTCGCCAGCACCCTGTTCTTCACAAATGCGACCTGCCGTAGTGCAGTCACCCAAAACGGATCAGGTAGCCGTGTACGCCCAAGGAGAGTGCGAGCACCTTCCTGCAGGGTCCAGTTGAGCCGCTCAGCCATGCTGTTCTGCTATGGGTTGTAGGGCACTATGAGCTAATGCTGAATACCCTTCTTCTTCAGCACCGCCTCAAATTCATTGCGAATGAACTCTCCTCCGTTGACTGTGCGAATCACCTTCACGTTGTGTTTGCTCTCTCTTTGAGCTCTCGGCATCCACTCCTTGAGAATAGCCACTGCCACCTCCCCCTTACTCTTGAGAGGGTAGACCCACACCGCACGCATGTGGTTGTCTACAATGATAAAGAAGTAGCGGCTGCCCGAGAGAGAAAGGGCCATCGTGGGGCCCACCACATCCATGTGCACTAGTGCAAGTGGAGCCTTGGCTGGTCCCGTGCTGCTGCTGAAGGGAAATTTTGTGAACTTGGTCTCAAGGCATGTAGGGCAGCTCCCAATCTCCTTTGCTGCCCCCTTCACCTCCAACCCCTTCAAGCTCCCATCGTTCACCAATTTCTGTTGCATAGGAATGTTAATGTGACACAACCTCTTGTGCCATCTCTCCCAATTAGCCTCACCACTCCCAGATGAAGCCTTTGCCTATGCAGTTGTCGCATCCACACCAGCAAGCACCTTACCACGTGGCTGCTGTCGCTGCTGCACCTTCTTGACTGCATCCAGGGCCCTATCAGTTGGTGCAGCCTCCTCTCCTCCTGCAGTTGCCTTTGTGGTTGCTGCTGCCGCTGCTGTTGCTGGAGGTTTCCCGTTCCAAGGGATGATGGGCAGCTGCCACAGGTCCTTGATGCAGCTGCTCTTCTCCTCCAGGTTCCATAGTAGCAGCTTCCCAAGCTTCGCACGGCAGCTGGTTGGGCCGAAGGTAACTTTGGCCTTGCTCTTCTGCAGCCGGCGCACAGAAAGAAGGTTTGCGGGTAAACCTTCAACCAACAACACATTCCCCAGCCCCACAAGCTCCTCATTGGCTCCCATCACCTTGGCATTCCCAACACCAATCAGAGGGAGCAAAGCACCTGAAGCACCAGCCACAAACTTTATCTTCCCAGGGGTTTTACCTCGTCAAGTAAATCTGCCCGTAGGGTCATGTGACTTGTGCAATCTGAATCGATCACCCAGTGAGTGAGGGGGTGCATCACCAACCTAGCTCACAAATACCACACAGGAACGTTAGAGTAGCAATCAACTTGGTAGGAGGGAAGAGGAGGACGAGAGGGAAGGTCCCCAAGGAGTCCCCAACCAAGGAAACCCCATAGTAACACAATTCCCCTCCCTATAGTCACTTTCCCAACCCATGCCATCCACCTCACCCAAGTTGGTCACACTTGCCAACCTGGTTTGGCTTCTCCCAACCACTTGGCATCAATCTACAGTAGAGTGACGAATTTCGCCAACCCCAAAAGTCTATACCCCATATTGAGTCACTCCACAGATTCCCAAATTCGCCGCTTCACAATCAAAACTTTGAACAATCATATCTTTCTCTATCTTGCTCTGATCGTGGCGATTATTGGTTCGCCAGAAAGCTCTTGAGCAGAGGAGTCATTTCAGGTATGTGCTCAAACAACATATTATTTACACACACTCAGAAAATCAAAACCACACCGAACACATATTCTTGCACACGCTCACACCACGCATGCAACGCACGAACATATGATGGGAGGCAGACAGACGTGAATGCAAATGATAACATCACATAACATAGAGGAGTATTCACACTCCTCCCTTCCTCCAGCCCATACTTCTCCCCCATGGCTCCAAGGTACTTGTGTTGGTGAAGCCTCAACCATCCCTTCACCTCATCCCGGTCCACGTGAAGACCAAGGTAATACCCCACAGGTCCAAGGGCCTTGCATTGAAAGGTCTCTTTCAGCTTCCCTTGCACCTCCTTCATCCTCTCTAGGGATGGAGAGAAGAGGAGGATGTCATCGATGTAGAAAATGAGAAACACCTTCTCCTTCTCCCCCTTGGTCATGAAGAGACTCTCGTCGCACCCGCTAACTTTGAAGCCAAGAGCCTCCAACTCCTCCACCAGCCTTGCATACCAGCACCTTGGAGCTTGTTTGAGGCCATAGATGGCCTTGTTGAGCCTGCAAACACATCCGCTCCCATCGTCATACTCCTCTGGCTGCTTCATGTAGATCTCCTCATCTACCACGCCATAGAGGAACGCCGTCTTCACATCCATTTGCTCCGCCTTCCAACCACAAACAGCAGCGGCTGCTAGCAACACCCGGAGCATAGGAGCCTTGGCAATAGGAGCAAACACCTCTTGAAAGTCAATCCCCTCTCTCTGCTCAAAGCCCTTGATCACAAGCCTTGTCTTGCCCCTCTCCAACTTCCCCTCCGCATTGGTCTTTACACGTAACACCCACGTGCAATCCAACGCCTTTCTTCCCAGGGGCAGATCGGTGAGGGTCCACGTTTCTTTCTCCATATGGCTCTTGAACTCATCCTCCCTTGAAGCCAACCAAGCCTCTCGATCATCTCCTGCGAGAGCTTCCTCCATTGACGCCGGCTCATAAGGTAAGTTGACGCCAAAGCAACAAATCTGCTCCCTCTCCCCCTCGGCTCCTTGCTCCTCCTCACCATCCTCCTCCTGGACCAGCAATGCCTTGGGACCCCCAAGCATTGCATACTTGAGGAAATCTCTTGGGTGAGCAGTGTCAAACTATAACTGTTCTAGTTTGTATTGTTTAGTCTAGGTGGTGTGCATCTTGGTTAGTGCTAGGGTTAGGTTTGCTATATCTACCCTTGTACTTGCTCATTCTAATCACTCATTCTTCCAATTCTATCTTTGACATGGTATAGAGCTTAGTTCGTTCCCATGGGCCCACCCCCCAATGCCCCGTTCGTTGCTCGATAGCCGCCCGTAGCGCGCTCGCCAGTCGTTGGTTTGCTCGTTCTGGGGTTTCACATGCTAGCCGCCCAGTAGCTGCTCGTTAGCCACCCGTCCGCCATCCGTTCGCCGTCCGTTTGCCACCCGTTGCCCGTAGCGCCCTCGGCAGGTCCCGCGCCCTTTGCGGGCCTTTGTCCCTCCCATAGCACGGCCCCACACGGGCCTTAGTTCGTCCCTTAGCACGCCCCCCCTTGCGGGCGCTACCGTTCGTCCTTAGCGTGGCCCCCGCGGCGCTTACGTTCGTCCTTAACACAGCCCCCCCCACGGGCACTCCCGTTCGTCCTTAGCGTGGCCCCCACGGGTGCTTCTGTTCGTCCTTAGCGCGGCCCCTGCGGGTGCTCTCGTTCATCCCGTAGCAGGGCCCCCCCCGCGGGCCCTTATGTGCGTCCCGTCATACGCCTTCCCCCCCCTCCGCGGGCTCTCGTACGTCGTGCCCTTGTTCGTCCCGTAGCGCGTACCCCCCATGGCCCCTCGTTCGTCCCGTAGCGCCCCCCCACCCCCCCCCCGGCAGACACTCTTATCGCGACCCAGGTCGCGCGTCGCCCGTCGCCCGAAGCGCCCTTCGCTCGTAGCGCCCGTCGTCCGTCGCCTTAGTGTCCGCACCCGCAACCCTATTTTCTTTTCGCCTGTCGCCCGTAGCGAACACTGACGCAGCCGCGCCCACGTGACCGCATACGCGTAGCCGCGCACACCCAGCCGCCCGT